GAACCAATCCTCATGTAACCCTCTTATCTCTATTAAGGTAGCGCGACTCAGGGTTGCAAATGACCACAGTCACCAATTCTTGTCATGTGTCTTGCCCATGTATGTCTGATCTCTGAATTGTGTGTACTGAAACTCTAATTTCCCTTTGGGATTAATAAAGTATCTTTGATTTGATGTTTCATTTTGTTTTATTATCTGTTTATTACTTTTTTTGTGAAGCCTCTTTGAGTGACCTAAAAAGCGCTATATAATAAGTTTGATGTATTATTATTATTATTATCAAGGCCGGATTAACCATTTGGAGCGACGGTGGCACAGGAGTTAAGTGCTCGCCCCGTAATCGGAAGGTTGCAGGTTCGAGCCCCGCTCAGTCTGTCGCTGTGTCCTTGGGCAACATTTAACCCATGTTGCCTGGTGGTGGTCGGAGGGACTGGTGGCGCCAGTGCTCGGTAGCCTCGCCTCTGTCAGTGCGCCCCAGAGCAGCTGTGGCTACATAGTAGCTCATCCCCACCAGGGTGTGGATGTGTGTGTGAATGGGTGAATGACTGATTGTGTTGTAAAGCGCCTTGGGGGGTTCCAGGACTCTAGAAGGCGCTGTATCAAATACAGGCCATTTAAGATACTGTATCTGTAATCTCCCACTTAATATTAAACTAGGGTGACTATACATCCTGTTTTCCCCGGACATGTCCACTTTTCACTCTCTGTCTGGGGCATCCGGACTGGGAGTTCTTGTATTGACGAAAATGTCCGGCTTTTCATCCAGGAGCAGGGATGGGGGAGCTGTATATCCTACACATCAAGGGGAGCCGGAAAAAAGTTTTCTACCTACAGTGGGGCAAAAAAGTATTTAGTCAGTCACCGATTGTGCAAGTTCTCCCACTTAAAATGATGACAGAGGTCAGTAATTTACATCATAGGTACACTTCAACTGTGAGAGACAGAATGTGAAAAATAATCCATGAATTCACTTGGCAGGATTTTTAAAGAATTTATTTGTAAATCAGGGTGGAAAATAAGTATTTGGTCACTTCAAACAAGGAAAATCTCTGGCTCTCACAGACCTGTAACATCTTCTTTAAGAAGCTTTTCTGTCCTCCACTCGTTACCTTTATTAATGGCCCCTGTTTGAACACATTATCTGTATAAAAGACACCTGTCCACAGCCTCAAACAGTCAGACTCCAAACTCCACTATGGCCAAGACCAAAGAGCTTTCGAAGGACACCAGGAAAAGAATTGTAGACCTGCACCAGACTGGGAAGAGTGAATCTACAATAGGCAAGCAGGTTGGTGTGAAAAAATCAACTGTGGGAGCAATTATCAGAAAATGGAAGACATACAAGACCACTGATAATCTCCCTCGATCTGGGGCTCCACTCAAGATCTCATTCCGTGGGGTCAAAATGATCATGAGAACGGTGAGCAAGAATCCCAGAACCACACGGGGGGACCTGGTGAATGACCTGCAGAGATCTGGGACCACAATAACAAAGGTCACCATCAGTAACACACTATAACGGCAGGGAATCAAATCCTGCAGTGCCAGACGTGTTCCGCTGCTGAAGCCAGTGCATGTCCAGGCCCGTCTGAAGTTTGCCAGAGAGCACATGGATGATACAGCAGAGGATTGGGAGAATGTCATGTGGTCAGATGAAACCAAAGTAGAACTTTTTGGTATAAACTCAACTCGTCGTGTTTGGAGGAAGAAGAATACTGAGTTGCATCCCAAGAACACCATACCTACTGTGAAGCAAGGGGGTGGAAACATCATGCTTTGGGGCTGTTTTTCTGCTAAGGGGACAGGACGACTGATCCGTGTTAAGGACAGAATGAATGGGGCCATGTATCCTGAGATTTTGAGCCAAAACCTCCTTCCATCAGTGAGAGCTTTGAAGATGAAACGTGGCTGGGTCTTCCAACACGACAATGATCCCAAACACACCGCCCGGGCAACAAAGGAGTGGCTCCGTAAGAAGCATTTGAAAGTCCTGGAGTGGCCTAGCCAGTCTCCAGACCTAAACCCCATAGAAAATCTGTGGAGGGAGTTGAAAGTCCGTGTTGCTCGGCGACAGCCCCAAAACATCACTGCTCTCGAGAAGATCTGCATGGAGGAATGGGCCAAAATACCAGCTACTGTGTGTGCAGACCTGGTAAAGACCTATAGTAATTGTTTGACCTCTGTTATTGCCAACAAAGGTTATGTTACAAAGTATTGAGTTGAATTTTTGTTATTGACCAAATACTTATTTTCCACCCTGATTTACAAATAAATTCTTTAAAAATCCTGCCATGTGAATTCATGGATTTTTTTCACATTCTGTCTCTCACAGTTGAAGTGTACCTATGATGAAAATTACTGACCTCTGTCATCATTTTAAGCGGGAGAACTTGCACAATCGGTGACTGACTAAATACTTTTTTGCCCCACTGTATATTACATCATTTATGGACTCTTTTGAGCAGAGAGCACATACAGCGATGATTGTTGGTGTGCAGAGCTCCAGGCTGCTGCGTCCAGCGCACGGTCCATTCTCAAAGTGGCGCAACCAAAAAACTATAATTAGCACACGATCGTTCATGTCCGCACTTGTTCTCTATTTTCTGTCTTATTTGTGCCTGAAGCGCTCTGCTACTGCGGAGCTCATCACCTGTGCTGCGCGGTGCTGCGGTGGTTTCACCTCACTGACGCAGCAACGAAACACGCTCTCCGTTTTGCGGTCAGGAGATCCCTTTGATCTGCTCAAAAGTAACTGATGAGGTGAAAAAGTAAGAATCCAGGCAGCAGTTTTTCTGGAGAATTAAGAGGAGATGCAGGAAGATGAGAGACAGACAGGACAGGAAAATAGTTAAATAAAAACAAGAAAACAAAACAAAAAGTAAAATGTAGGTAGATTTAAGGTCTTAAGGTAACACCCTTAAGACTGTGGAGATGGTCGTGGATTTTAGGAAGCTTCCCACAGTGCTGCCCCCCCCCTCACAATATCCAACAGCCCAGTGTCAATGGTGGACTCATTCAAGTTCTTGGGAACTATTATTTCCAGGGATCTGAAGTGGAAAACAAACATCAACTCCATCATCAAAAAGGCTCAGCAGAGGATGTATTTCTTACGGCAACTAAGGAAGTACGGCCTACCACAAGAGCTGCTGATCATCTTATACACTGCTGCAGTCGAATCCATACTTTGCTCATCCATCACTGTCTGGTTTGGGTCAGCCACAAAAATGGACAAATGCAGACTACAGCGTATTATTAAAACCAGCAGGAAAAATCATTGGTGCCCAGCTGCCCTCTGTCCAGGAACTGTACATCAGCAGGACCAGGAAAAAGGCAGTGAATATTGTCCAGGATGCCACACATCCTGCATCTACTCTCTTCCATCTCCTCCCATCTGGCAGACGCTATAGATCGCTGTACACAAAAACCACCAGACACAAGAACAGTTTCTTTCCTTCAGCCATTTCTCTCCTGAATCTGTAGATTCTTTTACCATCCTTTTACTATAGTTTTTAATACTTAATCAGTATGCTTATGGATATGTGTGTGTGTGTGTGTGTGTGTGTGTGTGTGTGTGTGTGTGTGTGTGTGTGTATGTATATATGTATATATGTGTGTGTAAATGAACATGTGTGTGGGTATGTATATATGTATATATGTGTGGGTGTAAATGAACATGTGTGTGGGTATACATGTTCTTATGTGTTTTTAGGTATTTTTTTTCTCATTTATTGTGGTTGTTGTATGTTTTAGAGAGCGAACATCTACCGAAGACAAATTCCTTGTAAATGTAATTTTACTTGGCCAATAAATCTGAAACCTGAAATCTGAATTTATCTCCAACTACACGTTTCTACCTGTATAAAACAATAAGTTACACACATGTAATATTTATACATCTGATACAATTCAGATCACCTTCAAAACTCAGTCACACACCCAGGGCCGTTTCAAGACATTTTGGGGGCCAAGGCAAAAATTACCCCCCCCCCCCCCCCCCCCCCGCCAACACACACACACACCCCAACACCACCACCGCAACCCCCCACCACCCCAAAACTGGGCTCCCCAGAAGCCTCTGTGTAATCCATACCCTCTCCAGGAGTATTAGTTATACAGTGTTTATAAAAGCCCCTCAGACATTACTGACATGTTCTAATATTATCAGATGAAAAACTAAATTATCAGACATGCTGTCTCATCTGCTTCTTTTCTAAACTTGCAAAAAGTAACAAAATCATTTGAAAGCCACTATTTGTGGATTCTCTGAAAGTTTCCGTGGAGTGTGGGACAACTTATTTTTTCATTGATCCTATCGTCTAATCTCACAGCTGAAACATGCATCCTTAATAATCTGTGCACAGGAAGCTTACCGATGCTGTAGTAAAACAAAAGGTATAATAATTTATTATTAATAAAACCTTGTTGCAGCACAAAAGCAGAAAAATGAGATTTTGCAATAAATATGCTAAATATTTACATATGAATTGTTTTAGAGCCCTTTTATTGGCAGAATCTGATATTAATTTAGTTCTTACAAAAAATGGGTCCCAGCGTGGTTTGTGTGGCGTTGCCATAGTGTGACGTCATAGGCACAGATCCCCTGTCCTCTTGTTTGGAAATGGAAATATGATCACCCTACATTAAACAAACTGTCCACCCGGGCTTTTGCGCTGCACAGAGACGCTTCGCTGCCTATGACTGAACGTCAGTTGAGAGTCAGTCTCATGCAGACTGACCAATGAAGAGAGGGCCTCAAGTTAAGACCCTCTCCTCATTGGTCAGTCCACACGAGGTGGGTCAAAGGTTACCCTGAGCGGGTTACGTGATGTCAGGCATTCAAGTATTGAGTATATTTACTACATATTACAGTAAAATATTCTGTATGTGACCATATTATGGTGATCCTTGGGTCGTGATGATGGGGCCCTTGAATATTGTTGCCCAGGGTACAACAAAGTGTTAATCTGGCCATGATTATTATTATTATTATTATCATTTACAACCGCAGAAGGCAAAGTGTGTCCCCACTCCCTGTTCAGCTATTTTCCTGCACCAGATCTGGCTTTTACAGATGTTTCTCACCTGTGTGAATAACACATCTGTCTAAGAGAAAAACCACTTCTCCAACTCATTTACTTATTTACATATCTGAAAGGTGGCAGCCCTACCTGTGTCCATGCTGTCCAGGTCCAGGTGGTGAAGAACACACGATGAATCAGTCCCAGCTGATGGATGATCCTGAAGTGGTAGCAGGTTTTCTTTAGCCGTGTTTAGCTAACAGCTGCAATAGAAACAAAGCAGGAGAGCTGATTAAGATGCTGCTTCAGAACAACGCAGGAGATTAAAGATCCAACGCTTTGGTTCTGGCCAAAGGAACAGCAGCAGATCCAGAGGGCAGGAAGTCTAGAGAAAAGCTTTTCTCACCCACAACCTGATTCTGGAGCTCCGATTGTCACGAAGACCGCAGAATATCTTCTCTGGTTCTGGAAAGAACTCCACCAAGTTGTTGAGGAGGAGAAGAAAGTTTCCACAGCCTGGTGAGAAGATTTCTGCAGCAGCAGCAGTTAGTCGCTTTAGCTGATCAACTCTCCCAGAGACTGAAGTGAAGACATTTTTACTGCAGAGCCTCAAATATTCTCCTCACACACCAGAACAACAACAAGCTAGCTCTGCTAGCAGCTTCCGGTTTCTGCTTCTTCTGGTGGTCGGTGACCAGCGTAAAGATGCACTACCGCCACCTGCTGGAGGAGAATAAAACACACCTGTGTGTTCAGAATGGGACTAATAAACACATATACTGTAGGTTGTGATGACTTCCCCAAACAATTAATTCAATTAAACAAAAATAAACAATCGATGATGAACAGGGGTCTGCTTCTAGATCTGCAGAAAAGGGACACCCAACAATACAACAGGAGCACAACGTGGACACATCTAACCTGGACTAGCAGAATTCCCACTAACAGCAGAGTCCTTAAAACATAGTTTGTGGTTTGTGAAAGTTAAAAACACGATTTCAGCATTTTGTTTATTTAGGCCTATTTGTTTTGCATGTGGGCCACATAGGAACACCAGCGTCCCCAACTCCCGTCCCTGAGGGTGGGTATCCAGCATGTTTGAGCTCCCTGAAACTAACACACCTGTTCAGCAGCTCGTCGGGCTCTGCAGAGGCCTGCTGATCACCTGCTGATTAAAATCAGGTGTGTTGAAGAAGGAAAACCAGTCAAACATGCTGGATGCCGGCCCTCAGGGAAGGGAGTTGGGGATCACTGACCTAGATCCTCTGAACCTGAACTAGATTATTGTAATTGTAGAATCCATAAAGCGTTGTGTTTAGATTTATGAAACCTTCTTTTTTATTTGTGGAAGAGAGTGTTTTGCTTTTATTTTACAAATGTGATGAAATTGTATAAAAATGTACAAAAGTGAAACTAATGTCTGGACGGCAGCTCTCTGCGTGCTCAGCCCCCCTAAACCTCTGATGCTAGAAGCGCCCCTGGCAGACACTCTTTACACGCTTACTTTGATTTACGTGACAAAGTTCATTTCTACTCTCAAAGTGTTTAAAAGGACTAACAGGGGACAGAAATGGGGAGGGGCAAGAGATGGAAACAGAGGAAAATGTAGAACGGCTCCAAAACTCCCAAGTCCTAACAAAATAAAAGCCTTTAATATGTGATCATGATTTAATAATATAAAAGACATAAAAATACTGAACGTGTGATGATTCTGTTCATCTTTAATTTACCTATAATGATAGAAAATGAAACCGAAAACTAACTTTGTTTTGTTGATTTTGGCCTTTGAGTTTTAGGGAGATGTGTTGCCCTCTGGTGGTGATGTAGTGGAACTACAACAGGCATGTTTGCTCTTACAGTAAAATAAAAGAAACTTTGTTTATGAAAATGTTAAAACGTTAAATAAAATATATTGAGCCCTCACATTATTTAAAAATGACAAATATTCACTTTTATAAGCATGCAAGATACTCAGAAAATAGATCAAGTTTGTTTATTTATCACCTTTCATGGCCAAAACCACAAAGTGTTTAGTGTCAATTAAAACCTAACAGCAGGGTGGAGGTTCAGCACTTTGACTCCACACAACCATCATGTTTAACACAGCCACCTAAATAAAGTCTCTATTAATTAATAGTTAGACAATAAGGAAAAACATCGTTAGCAGCAGTTACCCTGATGCTAACACCAGTCAGAAATGCGGTTATAGAGTGATGGAACAACAGATCTTTCAGGATTAAATGTGTGTAATCAATGTGAATCCTCTGAGTATGAAGATGTTTTCTTTCATACCAGCTGGTAGCAGGTGGAATGTGGAACGTTCAGAAGGAGGAGTTGACAGCCAGAACTGGGCTTTAAAGGTAGGTAGGTGTGTGTGTGTGTGTGTGTGTGTGTGTGTGTGTGTGTGTGTGTGTGTGTGTGTGTGTGTGTGTGTGTGTGTGTGTACAACAGTACCAGTGTGCATTATTCTGTAATCTCTAGATTTACTACTGTAAAGGGTTAACTTACATGTTATTAAGATTGGAACTTTTTATTGCAGGGATTATGTAACAACTTTGTATTAACTCAGAGACAAAAGAAAGAGAGAGTCAAGTTTTAAAAGTTTAAAGATTTATTACTAAACAAATTAAAACTAGACTAACTTTAAACACTAAATGTACGGTGTAACTAAGGTGGAGTGAGATAGAGAATGGTGTAGTGTGGAATGTAGTTCAGAACCAGCAAATCCGGAGAAACGATTAGTTCTGGTGGGAGTGAAGGTGATGTCTTCGCGCTAAGCTTTGGTTAGGAGATTCATAAACACATTCAACGCCATTTGTCGGTCTACGTACCCTTGGCGGAAGTCCCCGTCTAGATCAGGAGGTGTAGAGGTCCACACTGGACCTTTCTGGAGCCGAAGACTGAAGCCCAGCCGCAGCAGCCGACGAGTCCAGTCTTGAGATACTTCTGGGTCATGACAATTTATCAGCATCTAGCAAGACCCAAAACTGGGTCGTGATGGTTCAGCTTTTATCCTGAAAGGAACCGTTGCTTGGTTGGAACAGCAACAGATTTTATCCAGCTTGTCGTTGGTTCTTTCGGCTGAAGAGGAAAGTTACGGATTGGCAGCTACGACAACTTATGTCACAGTTATAACTGTTTGACTTGTCTGATCATTGTCTCCTTCTCTCTCCGACTACAGGAAATGGGTTATAGATAAACATATTGATAAAATCCATGACAACATGTAAAGAGGAGTTAACAACAAACCTCAGAACCACACCTTTCCCAGATACAGGATGCTCTGATTTGTGGTTAAGAAAATATCCATGTGCCATGAAATTACTTTAACCTTGTGTATGAGTGTATGGCTGATTAGCTCGTCACGTAGACTGATTATCAGTCAAATGGATCATTGCAGGACAATAGTCATTTCAACCTTATTAACTTAGGCACAGATGAATCAACCTTATTAATTTAAGCACATGGTCCATTTCATTATATGATTAGTTAACTCATATGAGCTGAAATGTTTTATTCAGAGGCAGGAGGAATCCTTTAGAAGCCATAAGAGGGAAGCTTAAGGCCTTGAAACGGGAACACTTTGTTCAAAGCTGCAGAGGACTTGGACTCAAGCTGATAGAATAGCAGAGTCCAGCAGATTAAAGGCACTAGATGTAGATTCATGTCTTCATATGACCAGATTCTAAAGAGGTCAAACTGTAGATGAAAAACTGACCATTTCTGGACGCTACATAGTGAATTAGAAACATCCTTCAGACCAGAGCATCGAGAGCTGAAAGCCAACATGCTGTCTGTGTTTTACAATCTGTCGGGCTCATTGATCATGTTTCAGTGGAATGCTATGTTCACGTGAATAATAACAAGCTCACAGTGATGTCATCATGATGCCTTCAGGTACCATATAAGAAGGTAAGGAGGAACTTCCAAAGGCTGATCTGTAGAAGTGTGTTGTCTCGTCACCGAGGAGAATCAGAAGCTATCTCGGCACCAGAGTCTGAACATCAGCTAGCTCTGAAGTCTGGGGAAGTAAAACAAGTTCAGCTTCACACAGCTGCTAAATGAATGCTTCAGACTCCTGAATGTTCCATCGGATACAGCAGAACTTGGTGTCAGTTGTCCTGTTGGGAGAAACTATTCATGTGCATGACGAGTGAACACAAACCTTGGTGTGGTGTGAAAGTTGTGGCAACAGCTTCCTAACATTCCCTCCTTAATATTATGTCTCACTTTATGACAGAATATATTATAAGGACCACGTTGTGCAACAGTAAAGGAAAACACACAAAAAAAATGACAAACTAAACTAAGGTTTACTAAATAAATGACAACTATATATGAACTATAGAGAAATAATTGATCAATTTTATGTAATACAAAAAAATAAATGTGTTTGTGAGGAGAGTGATTAAACCGAAACAGCATTCGGGATTTTATTTAGAAATGTGACGACAGGAAGTATGTTATCGTTTTATGTTGAAAGCTACAGTTGTGGTCAGAAGTTTACATACACTTGTAAGAAATATAATATAATGGCTCTACAGAGTGTCCCGTTATTTCTAAAACTCTGATTTTTCTCTGATAGAGTGATTGGAACAGATACTTCTTTGTCACAAAAACATTCATGAAGTTTGGTTCTTTAATGTCTTTATTATGGATTAACAGAGAAAAGTGATCACATTTGCTGGGTCACAAATATACATACAGCAGTGCTAATATTTGGTTACATGTCCCTTAGCCATTTTCACTTCAATTAGGCGCTTTTGGTAGCCATCCACAAGCTTCTGGCAAGCTTCTGGTTGAATCTTTGACCACTCCTCTTGACAGAATTGGTGAAGTTCAGTTAAATTTGATGGTTTTCTGACATGGACTTGTTTCTTCAGCACTGTCCACATGTTTTCAATGGGGTTTAAGTCAGGACTTTGGGAAGGCCATTCTAAAACCCTTATTCTAGCCTGATTTAGCCATTCCTTTACCACTTTTGATGTGTGTTTGGGGTCATTGTCCTGTTGGAACACCCAACTGCGCCCAAGACCCAACCTTCGTGCTGATGATTTTAGGTTATGTTGAAGAATGTGAAGGTAATCCTCCTTCTTCATTATCCCATTTACTCTCTGTAAAGCACCAGTTCCATTGGCAGCAAAACAGCCCCACAGCATAATATTCCCACCACCATGCTTGACTGTAGGCATGGTGTTCTTGGGGTTAAAGGCCTCACCTTTTCTCCTCCAAACATATTGCTGGGCATTGTGGCCAAAAAGCTCGATTTTTGTTTCGTCTGACCACAGAACTTTCCTCCAGAAGGTCTTATCTTTGTCCATGTGATCAGCAGCAAACTTCAGTCGAGCCTTAAGGTGCCGCTTTTGGAGCAAGGGCTTCCTTCTTGCACGGCAGCCTCTCAGTCCATGGAGATGCAAAACACGTTTGACTGTGGACAATGACACCTGTGTTCCAGCAGCTTCTAATTGTTGGCAGATCTGCTTTTTGGTGATTCTTGGTTCACTCTTTACCCTCCTGACCAATTTTCTCTCAGCAGCAGGTGATAGCTTGCGTTTTCTTCCTGATCTTGGCAGTGATGAAACAGTGCCATGCACCTTATACTTCCAAACAATTGTTTGCACTGTTGCTCTTGGGACCTGCAGCTGCTTTGAAATGGCCCCAAGTGACTTTCCTGACTTGTTCAAGTCAATAATTCGCTTTTTCAGATCCATGCTGAGCTCCTTTGACTTTCCCATTGTAGCGTTTGTGGGCGTTTGTATCCAATGAGCCCTATTTACCTGGCCTAAGGGAAGTCACCAGCTGTAGTCACTCATAATCACTCACAAGGAGTTAAGAGGCCATGCTATGAAGCTCAGTTCACTGACACATTTCTAAGTCACCTAAATTGCTAGTTCATGTTGCTGTATGTATATTTGTGACCCAGCAAATGTGATCACTTTTCTCTGTTAACCCATAATAAAGACATTAAAGAACCAAACTTCATGAATGTTTTTTGTAACAAAGAGGTATCTGTTCCAATCACTCTATCAGAGAAAAATCAGAGTTTTAGAAATAACGGGACACTCAGTAGAGCCATTATATTATATTTTTTACAAGTGTATGTAAACTTCTGACCACAACTGTATCCCGGCCATTCGTTAATTCATTTAGAAAAATTACAACCGTAAGCATGTTAAATGACAACTACATATGAACTATAGAGTAATAATTCATAGATTTTACGTAATATTTTATATTGAAACCTATCAAGTATGTAAGTATGTTTGCCATTTTATTTTGTAATGTATCCCGTGCATTTCCCGTCCTGACAGTGGAGCCTCCACCGGAAGCAGCCTGACAGTGGAGGTCTGCAGCCAGGTGCTCTTGAAATTAACACCGACTTAGACGAGATGAATCACAACAATCTCATCAAAGGCAATTTTTTTGTTTTGAAAGTACTGTAGTGGCATTTGAACATTGAACTAAATTAAATTACGAGACATCACCCCAGCAACTCACCCTGCGAAAATCATGACCATATGACCTTCTGTTAACCCTCCCACTGTCTGGTGGTGCTCACTCCGCACCTCTGCCACATGGACCCAAGGGATAAACCATCAACCCTGCTCAATGGTCATCTTTCCTCATGGGGTCACACCCATTAGGACAGTGGGAGGGTTAAGTAAATTTGGTGAATTCTGGTAAAAAAAAAAAGCCCAAAACAAATGCAAAACGGGTCATTAGAACACCATAACGTGCAACTACACCAACCAAACTGACACCACCTACTCACATGGACACTACAGTACAGAATACATTTTTGTTTGGTGAAAACTGCTGAAAAAGGCTGTATTTGATGAGAATCTTGTATTTTGCACCAAACAGTGACATGTGGTCATGAGCTAACCCTTAGCAGGCTTCAGTCTGCATGAATTTGACGTATGATGAAGCAGTCATAGACGGTGTGCAGCTGTAAATTTTTTGAGTCTATACAATGTCAATTCAACCATTGGCTGCATGGTGGCGCAGTGGTTAGCACTGTTGCCTCACAGCACGAAGGTTGCAGGTTCGAAACTCGGCTCGGCCGCGGCCTTTCTGCGTGGAGTTGCATGTTCTCCCCATGCATGCGTGGGTTTCCTCCGGGTACTCGGGTTTCCCCCACAGATCACAACATGCCCTATAGGTTATAAATTGTAAGTCACTTTGGATAGAAGCATCTGCTAAATGAATAAACATAAACATAAACAATGGGCAGAAGCCGTGATACAATGCTAAATTTAGCTCAGGCCTCATTCTGCAGCCTATTGGCAGTTTGGCTGTCAAATACCTTAGAACCATCTAAACAAACACAGACAGAAACAAAATTCACAGAGCTCACTCAGGGGCATGCTAACATAATCAATTTTTGTTTGGTGAAAATTGCATAAAAACGGACATATTTTTTCATAATCTTGTAATTCATGGCATACAGTGACATGTGGTCATGAGTGGAGTTTGACACCCTACCTGTGGGGAACATTATTCATGTACTACTTTTTATATTTGATCGTTAAAACTGCTTTGATCTTCATTTTGTCTTGCTTCCTTCTCATCTAACAAGTTTGGCAGAATCAAGAAACACAGACTAAGGCCTAGTCCACACGTAGCTGGGGTTTTTTGAAAACGAATATCCGCCCCTCCAAAAACTTGCATCCACACCACCTCATTTTAAAAACAAACTCTGTCCACACGTACCCGGATAAATACGTTGTAAAGGACATGCCAGACCTGTAGGCGGCAGTACCTCCCCCGTTCTTAACCTCGTCCTTCGTCTGTGGTCTTCCGCAAGGAGCAGTAATTCCGCTTGCAAAAACAAACAAGCAAAAAGCGCTTGGACAATTGATGGATCGGGTAGTGACAGAGCGCAGCTCTGAGGGCTTCCTTGATGTCGGCTAGTGTAAACACAGGTCGCACACGTGATGTCAGCATTTTTTGTCGCGGAAAGTGACGCTGCGGACCTTAAAACTCCGGTTTTGTCCGTCCACACGCAGACACCCAAAACGGAGAAAACGCAGATCTTCACTTTGGCCGGAGTTTTTAAAAAGATCCGTTTTCGTGTGAAAAAACTCCGTTTTCGTGTGGATGACAGGCCAAAACGTAGAAAAATATCTACGTTTTGGCAGATCCCCGGCTACGTGTGGACAGGGCCTAAATCTAAATCTAAATCTCAAAAACACTCACATTTTCTTATCTTTGTTAAGACAGAAGCTTAGGATTCGGCACTTTCTGAAGTCCCGACAATTCACCCTGAAAACAAGTTCTCTGGACATAACTTACAAAACGTGAGTTAAATTTTAACGTTTTTTCTTTTTTGTTGTAGATCTTTGTAACCAAACCTGGTGACTTAAATCTTAAAAACTTACATATTTTATCATCTTGGTTAGGATTGAAGCTTAGGATGGAATCTGTGAAAAAACGAGACTTGACTAGACAAGACAGCTTTATTTATATAGCACATTTGCCAAACAAAGGCAACTCAGTATGCTTTACAGCAATAAAGGACAAAACAAAAATGAACAATAGAATTAGATATAAAACACTGAGGACTACATGTAAAAATATCTGCCTCACATTTCCAGAAACAAACAAATTATAGCTGCCATCTAAGGACTTTTATTACCGTAAATCCTCTAATACAGGCCCGGGCCTGCATTTGACTCAAGCTCACCAAGCTCCAGGCCCTTATAGAGCTCCGGGAGTTGACGTCACTTCTCCCGGCATGCAACAGTTCAAATCGAAACGGTGCCATATTAGCAGGTAGAAGCCGGCAGCTGGACTCTTTGTTATTGTCAGAAAACTCAATCAAACGGGAAATATGGTAGATTCCTGTTGTGCCCCAGGATGCAGAACAGACGCGGACGACATAAGGAATGAGCCATCTACAGGATTCCCCAAGATCCGGAGCGCCGCAAACGTTGGATCATTGTAATAAAACGCATTAGTGACCGGGCTGAAATGAAGCTGTGGGATCCCGAGAGTAAAGGTTTTCACTTACGCAGCGACCACTTCATATCAGGTACTTAAACCAACGTTTCCTCAGCTGTGTATGGTATTTATTTTAAATGCTTTTATTATGATTCTTAGTGGGCTTCCTAAACTTATTTTGGCGTGGATTTTTCTGTCTTATTACTCATAACAACAAGTAAACATCACGTAAAACGTTGCCTCGTGAGTTCTGCGTGCTGCCGTTTACGTGTTTTATGATCACAGCAATTAACCGGCTAAGCTGTATTTAATTTTTAAGCAATGGTTGATCAATTGTCAGATCACACATAAAAAGCACTTTGGATTGCTATTATCTGTGTCACCGAGACTACTTACGTGTAAATCTGTTATTTGTCCGTCCATCCATCCATTTTCATCCGCGTATCCGGAGTCGGGTTGCGGGGGCAGTAGCGTGACTTCCCTCTCCCCAGCCGCCGGAGCCAGCTCCTCCGGGTAAATCCCAAGGGGTTCCCCGGCCAGGTCCGGTGTTGTGCCGGTAAGAAGTCCGCTCCGACAGCTTCTGGCATTTTTAAAAAGTATCCCAGGGGCACGGTACGGGTCGGAGATGTTCAGTCTATTTAATTTCTGACTATATAAAATGATTTCTTCTGTTTTAAAGTGTGAAGTAAACTCCGACGAAGTAAAATCCAAGCGGATCCCGTTCATGTTCATGGTTACATCCGTGTTTGTTTACCTTTTTTGCATGCCAAAATGGCGTCCACTAACTGAGAGTCACGTGGGGTCCGGAGCTCTATAGAAAGGAGGGCCAGAATTAGAGGCAGGCCTCTATTTCTATTTGAGCAAAATGAACTAATGGTTCGTTGGAGTTTTTGACAATTAAAACTGCGCCCACATTTTCAAAGTTAAACACATTTCTTTTAACAACGGTAGTTTTTGCTTCAGCCATCTCCCCCCTCCCCCTGCGCAGCGGCCGCAATCTCACTGATGCGCCTGTAGCCTCTCGGAGTTCCTGCTGCTCTAAACATTAAAATAATTATTTCATTTTATGTTCCTCACTTCTGATTACCTTCAATGGTGTCTGTTTGTTGCAACCACCAGGTACAAAAACTAACTTGTTTTTATTTGACTATTTTTCTGTCCTGCCTGTTTATTATCTTCCTGCATCTCCTCTCAATCCTAAAGAAAAACTGCTACCTGGGTTCATATATATTCACCTTATGAGTTACCTTTGAACTGCAGTTCTAAAAGACCTACCGACCGCAAAAACAGCGGAGCGCTCGCTGCTTGCCGGCCGCATCAGTGATCAATGCGTCACCGGATGACAAGGTGATGCGCCCCGCTCCACAGCATGCAGCGAAACACATCAGGCGCAAATAAAAGACAGAAAACATTAAAGGAAATGAACCGACATGAACGATCGCGTGTCAGTACCGACGCTCTGGCAAAGCGCGTTGCCCCCCCCCCGAGCGCAGGAGCTTGTCACCTGCTGACAGCAGGCTGCTGTCTTTTCCGAGGGCTGCATCTTGCCGGTCATTATCACGTGACAGCGACTAGTCGATGACAGGCATAAAAAGTCCCTATAGTGAAGTCGACTAGTTCATACAACCCCTACTGCTCCCCAGAGTGTTTTGCAGCAAAATCAGCACGTTTTCTTTGAACTTGATATCAAATTTTCGCCTCCTCTTCGTCTCCGCACGGTTAAAGTTACCCTCGCGGTCTATCACTGGCAAATCAAAAGTGAGACGATGACACAACCACCCCCCGTACTTGCTTGTTACCACATTCCACCCAGCTACAATAAGAGACCGGCCATTATTCACCTCCGCCGACACCGGCCAAAATATGAGACCCGGCCATTAATTGAATACAGGCCTGTATTAGAGGATTTACGGTACATAATTATGCTCCTTACACTCCTTCGGTTCAGCGGTGAGAACTCCAGACAGAGTTCTGAGGACTGTCGTCGAGCTAGCTATTTCAAACTCATCTGGAAGTTTTGTGCTAAACATCATTAGCTTAGAGATGTTTATTTTTTTGTTCATCTACACCCAGATGTGTTAAATAATCTAAAGTAGTCATATCTAAATGCCTAGGTTTTATTTTGTTAACTTAAATCATGGAGATACAGCTCTGGGTAACGGCTGGAGACGGGGTTCTAGCTCTACAGCTAGTGTGGATGTGCTCAGTTACCTGGATGTAAACAATAATATGCAATGGGTCTATATTTTATTGTGTTTGGTGAAAACTGAAGCAAAGGATGGAATCTGTGTATATAAAAAAAGAGACTTATAAAATATTATATAATTTTAGATACACCTTTTCTAAAAGACATTTTTGTGCTAAGGATCCCAAACATTGCTTTTATCAAAAGAAGAGAAGTTGTGCTTTTAGGTGCACCTTTAAGTCAACTAAATGTTATATTAAACCACATTTTATTGCTGGAAGCCTAGTAAGAAGTCACTCTGTCTGTAACCCCCTCAACCCTGACCCTAACCCTACCCCCATAACACTTGACTCATTAACTACCAACTGTTTTACTGTGTGGGCGTCGGAATGAGCCTCCGCACTGTAAGAACAAACATCCCAGCTCTAAAGCCGATCTTCATCTGCATACGTCACACATCATGTGATCAGGAAGAAGAAAATCCATGTGTTAGCAGATCGTTTTGGGCCGTCGCTGTAAAAAAAGTTAGGCTCAAACTGGAAAAGCTTCTGCCGATCACAACTCAACAATGGATTATTAAAAAACGGATAACGCTTGAAACACGCGGATTCTCCCAGATTTTAGAGGTGAGTCTACTCTTTGTTTTGCTATTTTTGGCGTTTGCATCATCCTAGCACGCAACGCTCTGTGACTCTTAAAATACAGTGAAAATGCTGAAAAACGCTGGCAGCAAAGGGCTTTTCTGACCAGGAAACAGCTGGCAGTGAATGAGTTAAAAGCAGTGTAAAAACATAGAAGTCTAAAATACTTGACACAACTGAACATGGGTCAGTCAGGAGCATAAACACCCAACCCCCACCCCCGCAGCAGAGATCTGACGAAGTACATGTTTGACAAGTGCAGAGGTTTTTGACCCTAATAGCCTTCAATTTACATTGGTAAAGTCTTACTCGAACACAAAAATGCTGCTTGCTTGTAATCAGTTAGGTTTGTACTGCCCCCTATAGCCAGGGAAAGTACATACCGTTGTCCACAGAGCTCATAAAACGTTTCGATCCTGTGTGGACTCTCATGTGCTTGTAAAGTTGACTTACGGGTAAATATTTTTCCACAGAGCTCACAGACAAAAGGTTTCTGTCCTGTGTGAACTCTCATGTGACTGTTTAAAGTTGACTTATGTGTAAATTTTTTTCCACAGAGCTCGCAAGCAAACTGTTTTTCTTCTGTGTGGATTCTCATGTGATTGTTTAAAGTTGACTTTTCAGTAAATCTTTGTCCACAGGCAAAAGGCTTAGTTTTTCTTCTGTGTGGATTCTCATGTGACTGTTTGAACCTGACTTTTGGGTAAATCTTTTTCCACAGAGCCCACAGGCAAAAGGTTTATGTCCTGTGTGGATTCTCATGTGATTGTTTAAAGTTGTCCTTTGGGTAAATCTTTGTCCACAGAGCTCACAGAAAAAAGGTTTCTGTCCTGCGTGGACTCTCATGTGACTGTTTAAAGTTGACTTATGTTTAAATCTTTTTCCACAGAGCTCACAGACAAAAGGTTTCTGTCCTGTGTGGACTCTCATGTGATCGTTTAATGTTGACTTATGGGTAAATCGATTTTCACAGAGCTCGCAAGCAAACTGTTTTTCTTCTGTGTGGATTCTCATGTGACTGTTTAAACCTGACTTTTGGGTAAATCTTTTTCTACAGAGCTCACAGGCAAAAGGTTTATGTCCTGTGTGGACTCTCATGTGATCGTTTAATGTTGACTTATGGGTAAATCGATTTCCACAGAGCTCGCAAGCAAGCTGTTTTTCTTCTGTGTGGATTCTCATGTGAGTGTTTAAGTGTGACTTTTGGGTAAATCTTTTTCTACAGAGCCCACAGGCAAAAGGTTTCTGTCCTGTGTGGACTCTCTGGTGTCTGTTAAAACTTGATTTTCCTCTTAATATTTTTCCACAGTCACCACAACTAAATGATTTTAGTTCTTTCTGGACTTCCCTATATGAGTCTACAGGTTGCTTAAGTCCAACAGATTTTTTATTAACCAAAGAGCTGGAAGACCTGATTGCTGAATGACTGGTTACTCTCACGTGTTTCTGGAGAGACTGCTTGTCATGAAATCGTTCACCGCACTCAAGACAGCTAAGGGATATGTTGACAGTCTTAACATCTGACTCAGAAGACCTTTTCTCATTCCAGTCATGGTCTTCGTCTCCAGTTTCAGACCCAGAGTCTGACATCCCAGAGTCTAGATTCACACCATCATCATCATCATCATCATCATCATCATCATCTCCACTAACTTCAGTCTCTGAAGAATCAGATGTTTGTTCATGAGGGTTCAAATCTGGGTTCCTGCTAGTTCCTGCTCCTCCACCAGTTTCTGCTGCCATCTGGTCAGCTGAGCTGCTGGTTGGAACATCTCTGTCTTCTATTTGCTGCTGATGAAGCTGTGAGACCAGAGGTTTCTCTTCATCATCCTCACTCTTTATAGAAACAGCACTGAATTGAAACCAGGCAGAATCAGTCTCCTCCTTCAAACAGAGATGCTCTCCCTTAAGACTGGTCCAGAGTTCCTCCTTTTCCTCCTTTATGTGGAGATGTTCTGGGTCCTGCTGGTACACACCAGCACTTTGTTCTTCAGGATCTTCTTTAACCTGTACCATCTGTTGAACACCTGTAGGAAACAGAAACACATAACGTGAATTACCGACTGCTGTAACTTTAAATTCACACATATGAGAGTTGTGTTATTAGAGGGGTCTCCAGCATGTTGGTCGTGAGCTACCGGTAGCTCTTGAAACTCTCTGGCCTGGAAGCAGCCAGTGAGCTGCCCAGCCTGACTTGTAATTAACAAGGGACGGATTTCTAATTTGATGGCAAGCCTTCCCCGGTTCTTGTAATATCTCATGTAAAATCAGCATTTTGTGGAAGTAAAATGCCTCACGAGAGACAAGCAAAATAACACGCCAGAAGTCCGTTCGAGCTCACGATTGCACGGTTGAAGCGGTGCAGCGAGCGGCTGAGATCCAAAAAGGACCAGAACTGCTCACGGCGCATGCTCAATCATGCATCAACACCGCTCACCCGCTATTTCTCTAATAACACACGTTGTTCGTTTTTATTTCTACACGTTTTTTACTCACAAAGATTGTCAAGAAAGCGTGTTTGTCGTGTTCATGTCAAATTAAACTGATCACAAAACACAGATTTACTTTCTTTATTTCGTTTTCCTCATCCAACCCCCATAAATCCCTGTGTGTCCTCCTGCAGCACTCCCGAAGGACATCAGCTCCGTACATCTCCGAGCAAACATGAACAAGTTGATTATTATTATGTTTTAAATAGTAAAATCAGAAGTAAGATTTCACATAACTCTATCAGCACCTTGTGAAACATCATATCTACCGCTTTTTTTAACGCTGAACCGCTTACATTACCTTAATTCCCTCCAACCTGACACAGCAAAACAAAACAGAAGATTCACATCCCCTTATGCGCTGTGTTGAAGTTCAGAATGTGTTTAGTTGGTAGATTTAACCACATAAACTTTCCACATGAACAAAAACATATGTGTGTTATTAAAAGGCCTAAGAAAATAGTGTGATTTGAATTGTGTTTTATTAAAAAAAAGGTAGCGGGAGCAAATATGAGTTTGGTTGTGCTTTATTTGAGCGCTATTACCGGTAATTAATCATCAAATCCATCAAAGTCCTCATCTTCTGTATCTGATAAGAACAACTGGGCTAGAGTACAGTCAAACACGCCAGGTTCTCTCTCGTCACAGTCAGAGTCTGTCTCGTTGCCATTCGTCTCCTCATGAATGATGCCGGCTTTTGCAAAAGCCCGAACAACTGTAGAAGTAGACACATTAGCCCAAGCTTTTGCAATCCATTCACAAATTACGGCGTAACTTGCCCGGCGTTGCCTCCCAGTCTTTGTAAACGTGTGTTTGCCATCTGTCATCCATCGCTCCCACGCTGTTCGCAGCCTTACTTTGAACGCCCTGTTCACGCCAATGTCCAGGAGTTGGTGTTACTTTGTCAAGACTCCCGGAATGACAGCGAGCTCCGAGTTCATTTGCTTCACCCGTTTTTTCACACCGTCTGTGAGATGAGCGCGCATGGAGTCAAAGATCAACAGGGACGGTGACGTGTTGAAAAAACCGCCTGGTCTCTTCACATACAACTCACTCAGCCACTCTTTCATTTTGTCCTCATCCATCCATCCCTTTTCGTTAGCCTTGACGATGACTCCAGCTGGAAATTTCTCTTTAGGCAGAGTCTTTCTCTTAAAAACCACCATAGGTGGCAGTTTCTGTCCATTAGCATGGCAGCCAAGCACAACAGTAAATGCTGATTTTTCGTGTCCCGTTGTGCGTATCGGTACCGTGCTAGACCCCTTCTTCTCAACAGTGTGATTCACCGGGATGTCAAAAGTGAGCGGCACTTCGTCCATGTTGGTTATGTGGCTGGGCTGGATGTGTTTGTCGGCAATCTTCTTGCAGTAGGAGCGGAAGATGGACAGCTTTTCTTTGTAATCCACTGGAAGTTGCTGAGCCGCCGTAGTCCTTGCCCGGATGGAAAGATGACGGCGTTTCATAAAACGAAAGCACCAAGACGCACCTCCTTGAAAATGTTCAATGTTCATTTCTTGTGCGAGCGTTACTGCTCTCAGACGAATGGTGACGGTAGAGACGCTTCTCCCAGCTGTCCTCTGCTCGTTAACCCAAAGCTCGAGGCGGTCTTCCCGCTCAAGCCACCTGGCTTTGTGCCCACGGAAACTCAGCTGCGTCTTCTTTACTTGTCGGAGTTCGTTTTCCAACTTCCTCCACTTGCGAACCATGGAATCATTCATGATGAATTGTCTCGCCGCTGCTCTATTTCCGTGTTTCTCCGCGTAGCTGATCGCTTGCAGTTTAAACTGTGCGTCATAGGCGTGTCTCTTAGCAGGTGCCATTCTCAGGGTTGTCAGAACAATATTCAGCATGCCACGCATACCTGCCCTTTTGAACTATTCGGGGTCTGTCTTCGCTCACGTCCTCACGTTCACGCCCCCTGTCTTCTACTACGTTCGCGTCTCACAACAACACAATAGGCGCGCCGCACCATAGGGCGCGGCGTACATTTTGGAGAAAATTTAAGACTTTTAGGTGCGCCTTATGGTCGTGAAAATATGGTAATAGGCTTCCATAGTCTGGACATCTCCTGTGATTTAGTTTCAACAAATTTCCCTCAACAGTTTCAGCTGATTGTCCCGTTTAGGAATAAAACACGATTTTCAAATCTCTCTCTCTCTCTTGCTCATCCGTCAGACCCGCTGATCCAGAGGCAGAGAAAAAGGTTAAACCTCCAATCCTGCTTTAATGTCGTCAGCATTTATTGTTGACAGGTTAATCATTCACAGAAAGTAGATTTCTTATTCATTATCTGAAAGTATCTGATTGGTTAATAAACATAATATTTTGTTTAGTTTGATTTTCGGAATCTCACTTTCTTCCTTGTACTTTTTTATAATATTGATGTACTAAAATCAGGGGTGGACCTTTAAAGCGCCCGAGCGCCAATGGCGCTAAATTTTCTCGTCGGGCAGTAAATACTTGACGATTTACCGCCCAGGTGGCGCCCAAGCCTTGTTTGTCATTTATACACCGGCTTTCACCTACATCATGGCCCCGCCCTGTAGGAAGCCGCCGTTTTCGTTTCACGCACGTGAACCTGCGCGCCTCTAGCCACTTGTGCACTTGGGATGGGATTTCTTGATGAAATCTCCGGCAAAACGCTTTAAAACTGGTGAGAAGCGACAGTTCGAAACGGTATGAAACAGCAGCGTGTGTGTAGGTGCCGTGGAATGATTCTTGGCGGTTGACGGGAGGCGCAGAGAATGGCCGTGTTCGAGTTGAGCAGTGCCTCGTCTGGAAAACAGACGAGAGCAGACAGAAGTAGCAGGGGGAGTGGCTGAAAGCCGGCGTTTAACGGGCTCGACACACGGGAGGCAACATCGCCTCTCCTCCATTCATTTTCAATGAGACATGCGGGACAAAGCGATAATCGCGGGTCTCCCTCCTACCAAGCGAAACGCGAAAAACGTGCGTGTGAAATTTTGCGCTCGTGCACGTGTCGTACACAGGCGACCCAGCGACGCGACCCCAGAAAGTTGAAACATTTTCAACTTTTCATCGATGTCGCTTGGACGAGGACCAATCAACGGAGGTTTCATTCACTGACCAATGAGCGGACAGGATGCTCCACACATCTCCGAGCAAACATGAAGGAGAAGTTGATTATTATGTTTTATATAGTAACATCAGAAGTAAGATTTCACATAACTCTAACAGCACCTTGTGAAACATCATATCTACCGCTTTATTAACTCTGAACCGCTTAAATTAACTTAATTCCCTCCAACCTGACACAGCCAAGCAAAACAACAGAAGTTTCGAGTTCGCCATGAAACAGAACGCGTAAACGGCTTTGCCGCTGGCCGCGGGTCGCCTCCCGTGTGTCAGGTAATAAAAGCGGCAGCGACGAATTCCGCTGATCGCGGTCGTTTGTCGCCTCCAGTGTGTCGAGCCCATTAGTCGGACACAATTTCCTGTATGTGTAGCTCGGGGGTGACGATGGCTGAAGATATCGCGTTAGCATTCACACTTGTTAAATTTTCATTTTTAATTCTGGTGCCTGTTAGCAGCTGAAACACATCCTCACGTGCTTGTGGATATCATATATTGTATATGAAGACATGACTGTAATAATAAGTAAAGGTTATCAGTTGTAGCTTCAGTGTGCTCATAGGAAACGTGACAAAAGAAAACAAAACACATTTCTCTTTATGGCCTATATAGTTGTCATCATCAACGTTACATGATTTACAGAATACATGTGAACAACTAACATTTCATGTTCCACCACCGGATGTTTGGATCAAAATATGAATCAATCAGATCTTAGATCAGGTGAGAGCCAGGCATTTCCCGTCATTCCCTAGGTTTTGCAGCCGAGGCAGAGCAACTTCAGCGCCTTGCTCCAAAATCTGCGGCCGCCTTGATCTCACGAGTTGATCGTTGCCTACGTATGCATGACGTCAGAGCAAGTCGGCGTCAAGTCGGACACAAATCTAACCGGCATGCACTGCTCGCCGATCACCGCTGGTCTAATCTGCGCAGAACTGGCTCATCTCGAACACAGCCAATGGCTCGAGTACAGCAAAGCGGAGTTGGTGATGTACTGCGTTGTATGCCGGAAGTATGCGACGACAAAATCGTGTTTTGTTGAGGGAACAAACAAATTCAAACTTGAATACGTTATTATGTGTGTGAATGTGTACAAAATAAAGGTTTATTACATTTAAAACGGTTCAGTTGTTATTTTGACTCGTTTTGGCAGCTGACCTGCGGGGCCGGTAAATATTCAGAGTCACCGGCCCTGCTGGCCGGTTGGTTTTGAAGTTTATGTCCACCTCTGGAAATACAGAGAAATCAACTAACATAAGCACATTCACACATGGACTTGAACACATCGTATGGCGGTAGCTCTTCTGTACTTTCATTAAGTAGCTCACAAGCCCAAAAAGGTTGGAGACGCCTGGATTAATGCTTTAAGTTGGTGAAATCAGAAATGACTCAAATTACAGGAAATCTCTTTTGAATTGAGAGACTTTTTCTTGGGAGGTGAATAAAAAAATGTAGGCTTACTAGTTCCAGACCAACAAAAGCCCGTGTTACTCTGAGGTTCAGGTTATGTTATTGACAATTATACTGAAAAGTCAGACAACTGCTAAAGAGTGAATCAAAAACATCTGTAGAAAACAACTGTAGCTCAGAGTGCTCTTAAAGTTGCAATTTGACTTGCTCTCATGTTTCCATAAGACCACCACCCACTCGACTAGGACATTAAATTCACTGAGCTGCATGCTGAATTAGCGACTGCACTCTGGAGTCACATGTGGAGGCTGCAGTAAGCATTTTGTTTTTGTCTTTAGCGCTGCAGACCATTTATTGCAGCACGGAAATGCTGAATAGTTTCACAACTTTTAAATCAAAAAGATAATCAGTCCATCGCCATTCTCCTTCCCGGCAACTCCGTTCTGCTGACTCCAGCCTCCTTTCCCCTTTCAAAACAAAACATGGCAACATGGGGGATGGAGCCTTTGCAGCCGCTGCCCCCACACTTTGGAACTCTCTCCCACTAAACATCAGGAATGCCATCTCTCTTTCTACTTTTAAGTCTCTGCTTAAAACCCACTTCTTTAAACTGGCCTTCTCTTTAAGATCAACCCAGCATCCCCCAGTCTGTTTACTATGTTTCATGTTGTTTTATTATGTGTTTATTGCATTTTTTGTGAAGCGTCTTTGAGTGACCTAACAAGCGCTATATAAGATTGATGTATTATTATTATTATTATTATTATTATCATTTACAACCGCAGAAGGCAAAGTGTGTCCCCACTCCCTGTTCAGCTATTTTCCTGCACCAGATCTGGCTTTTACAGATGTTTCCCACCTGTGTGAATAACACATCTGTCTAAGAGAAAAAACACTTCTCCAACTCATTTACTTATTTACATATCTGAAAGGTGGCAGCCCTACCTGTGTCCATGCTGTCCAGGTCCAGGTGGTGAAGAACACACGATGAATCAGTCCCAGCTGATGGATGATCCTGAAGTGGTAGCAGGTTTTCTTTAGCCGTGTTTAGCTAACAGCTGCAATAGAAACAAAGCAGGAGAGCTGATTAAGATGCTGCTTCAGAACAACGCAGGAGATTAAAGATCCAACGCTTTGGTTCTGGCCAAAGGAACAGCAGCAGATCCAGAGGGCAGGAAGTCTAGAGAAAAGCTTTTCTCACCCACAACCTGATTCTGGAGCTCCGATTGTCACGAAGACCGCAGAATATCTTCTCTGGTTCTGGAAAGAACTCCACCAAGTTGTTGAGGAGGAGAAGAAAGTTTCCACAGCCTGGTGAGAAGATTTCTGCAGCAGCAGCAGTTAGTCGCTTTAGCTGATCAACTCTCCCAGAGACTGAAGTGAAGACATTTTTACTGCAGAGCCTCAAATATTCTCCTCACACACCAGAACAACAACAAGCTAGCTCTGCTAGCAGCTTCCGGTTTCTGCTTTTTCCGGTGGTCGGTGACCAGCGTAAAGGTGCACTACCGCCACCTGCTGGAGCAGAATAAAACACACCTGTGTGTTCAGAATGGGACTAAGAAACACACATACTGTAGGTCCCCAAACAATTACTTAAAGTAAAGACAAATTAATTGTACACCTGTTTTAATAATTATTGTTATTTACTTTATTTTTATTTTAATCTTGCTTGTCTTTATCTCATCTGTTTTTCTTTGATGTAAAGCTAATTATGTGTCTGTTGCTGCTGCCTCTTGGCCAGATCGTTGTTGTAAATGAGAATGAGTTCTCTACCGACTCATCTGGTTAAATATATTTCTGACACACACACACACACACACACACACCGGCAGCAGGCGCTGGAAAAAACACAAAGGAAGGGGCGCGTCGGCTCTGCGCTGACGGCGCAAAGCATCATCAGAGTTGAAGTCTTTGCGGTAAAATCGGCCAGCGGGCCAGTTTTAACATATTTTTGATATTTATCTCGCGGGCCACAAAAAAATGCTCCGCAGGCCTTGACTCTGACATATGTGGTCTAGAGTGTGCCCCCTGGTGTTCCCAGAAACATGCTGGGTAAAGCCGAAGGAGTCCATAAGGCTGGAGAAATTCATGGAAAAGTGATCAGAGAGATCATCAACGTGGATGTTAAAGTCACCAACAATCACCAGTCTGGACAGCTTCACAGTGGATAGAAAGTCACTAAACTCCTGAAGGAAAGAACTGTTTGAACCAGGTGGACGATAGACCACAGCACAGTAGAACGGTTCCTTACGCCCGACTTCAGCTGCAGTTCAAAGGAAGCAGTGACCAGAGGTTGTAGAGCTACATGGAAGATGGTCTCTGAAAACAACAGCTAGGCCTCCACCACGACCAGAACCCCGGGGCTAGCTAAGAAAAGAATAACCACTCAGGCAGAGTTCAATCACACCAGAATAATCAGAAGTTTGCTGCCAAACTTCAGTCAGAAACAGAAAATCCAGGTTTTTATACAGAATTGGATCATTGAGCAGGAAGGACTTATTAACAGAGCGGGTATTTAATAGAGCCATGCTGAGTGATGAGGAGGAATCACAAACTACAGAAACAGCTGGAGTTAGTGGACGTAAATTAGCGGGGTTAGATCCACGGTGTTTATAAAAACCATTTATGGAGGGAACAGGAGGAGAAACCACTGAGGAATGAGGATAAACCGACCTTAAAAAACTTGCATGAGGATGCTGAGTCATGTTTATCTGAGGTTCTGCTGTAAACGTTTTTAGGAGACAAACAGGAAGTGGGCGTGGTTTATTATAGCTAATCCAAACTTGTCATCTTTCCCCAGAATCTAAAATAATCTGAAAATCTCAGAGCTGAAATGTTTTCAGCACAAACTACAACATTAATAGATTTAAAAGCTTTTTAAGCTAAACCCGTCTGAATGAAACAGTTATTTTCTAAATGTAAATAAAAACTACCGTCTGTTATCTAACTCCAGCTGCTACTGAGGCCTCTGGGTTTCTGCTGGATTAAACGTCTCCAGAATTATTGACTAATGACCCAAAATCTGACTTTCTAGTTTTATTTCAGTGTAACTCAAGACTTTTGTCACAAATTGTTTATAAAGACAAGAAACAACACAACAGGGAACATCCCATAATATTTCAGATGGAAACAAGAGATTACTGGAGGCCTGAGTCTGACTGAGACTGGTAATCTGAGGAACCAGCATCACCATCAGATGGTTCTGGTACCTTTGGGTTCTCCACAGTTGGACTGAATTCAGAAACAAAAGCAGAACAAAGACTGGAGCTCCTACAGCTTGTAGAACCTCCTTCAGGAACTCAGGAATCATCTTCTGTTGGACCTCTTCATGGTCCTGGAGGAGTTCTGGTCCACTCTTCTTGACGTTAGCAGACCTTCAGCTCTCTGAAGGTCCCACCACTCAGTCTGGTTCTATAGTCTGGACTCTGGCTGGACCACTGCAACATTCTGATTGTTGTAGATCTGCTGCTGTGTTCTGGATCACGTGTTCTGCTTCATGACCCGGTTTGATCCCATCTCCAGCTGTCAGACAGATGTTCTCACGTTTGACTCTAGAAGACATTGGTCTCTAGAGGAGTTCATGGTGAACTTAATGAGTCCAGTTGGGTCGGAACCAGCCCAGACCATCAGCCCTCCACCACCGTGCGGACAGCTGGGCTCAGACGGTTGTGATGCAGTGCATTATGGGTAAACATCTCCTCACTGGGACATTTTTTCAGGATCTGGTGCCGTCATTAAAATAACAAAACTACATTCCACTATAACTGACTATGGTACTCTTCTATAATGCAGAATCATTTATGCCCGCAACTCGATGCATTGATTATTTTCCTCAGCTCTATTTATCCTACACCTCCCGGTCGGCCGTCGAGGGGGGGGGGGGGGGGGGGGGGTCGTGCGAGGTTTGGGGGCCACAAAGAGAGGGTCCGGCCCGCGGGCCACCATTTGCGGATCACTGACCTACAAGATGTAGAAAAAAAGGATAAACCTCCAACCTTAACATTGTCAGCAATAAACGTAACAAAAAAAAAACCCCATAAAAATTCAATAAATCAGGAGAGCAGGAACAAATCTTGTGATTTTACATGTTTTACTTCAATTCAGACTATTTACAATTTTGTGTTTTCATCAAATTTAGCTTGTATTTTATATCAAATATCATCAGCTTTACAGGTTAGCGGTTCCTGTGTGCTCAAAAAGTTGTTACCAACCTTCTAAAAAAAATTACCAAAACATTCACATGAAGTACCGGTAGATTTGTTACTCATTATCTGAAAGTATTTGATTTGGTTTAATTTGGTTTTCAGAATGTCACTAGTTTACTTATACTTAAAAATATATACTGATGTACTGAAATACAGAGAAATCAACTTGTGAATACAATGCACGTTAATATAGTAAGTATAGCATGTTTAACATAAGCACATTCACACATCAATGTAAATAAATCATATGGCAGTAACTCTGCTGTACTTTCATTGTGTAAAAGTAGCTCACAGGCCAAAAAAGGTTGGAGACCCCTGCAATAGATCATTCAGCCCTAGTGGATGCTTAGATGATTGTTTAAAGTTTTCTTTTGGCTAAATCTTTGTCTACAGAGCTCACAAGCAAAAGGCTTCTGTCATTTGTGGACACTCATGTTAGGGCTGGCGATATGGCCTCAAATCTATATTGCGATATATCTGAAGCATGTGCGATTACGATATAAACTGCGATATATTTTTTCCTTTGTTTATATATGTCAGAATGACATGCTTTAAAAAAATCCTCTTATGGAAAATATATTGCAGCAGAATAAACCCTAACCCTAACCTTTCTCAGAGGCCTAGTGGTAGAGTGTCCGCCCTGAGACTGGGAGATCAGGGGTTCGATTCCTGGTCGGGTCATACCAAAGACTTTGAAAAAATGGGACCCAATGCCTCCCTGCTTGACACTCAGCATTAAGGGGTTGGATTGGGGGGTTAAACCACCAAATATTTCCCGAGCGCAGCTGTGTCTGCAGCTCACTGCTCCCCCAGGGGATGGGTCAAATGCGGAGAACAAATTTCGCACACACACCTGTGTGTGTGACAACTAAAGGGACTTTAACTTTAAAGACATCCAAAAAGTGTAGAATGCTCCTCCTCCTCCCGCTACATGATTGCAGTCACTGCAATTCTGTTGTTTCAATGTCGGCGCGAGTGCACATCTTAGTGACATCATGTGTTATCGTGATATCGCGGTAGAGCCAAAAACTTATCATTACCCAATTTTATATTGTTTCTACCTTATATCGTTTATATTGCCAACCCCTAACTCATGTGATTATTTAAAGCTGTCTTGTGGCCAATTTTTTTCCCCACAGGCTTCTATCCTGTGTGGACTCTCATGTGACTTTTTAAAGTTGGCATTCGGCTAAATCTCTTTTCACAGAGCTCACAGGCGAAAGGCTTCTGTCCTGTGTGGACTCTCATGTGAGTGTTTAAAGTTGACTTTTGGCTAAATCTTTTTCCACAGAGGTCACACGAAAAAGGCTTCTGTCCTGTGTGGACTCTCATGTGACTGTTTAAAGTTGACTTCAGGCTAAATCTTTTTCCACAGAGGTCACACAGAAAAGGTTTCTGTCCTGTGTGGACTCTCATGTGACTGTTTAAATGTGACTTTCGGCTAAATCTTTTTCCACAGAGCTCACAGGCGAAAGGCTTCTGTCCTATGTGGACTCTCATGTGACTGTTTAAAGTTGACTTCAGGCTAAATCTTTTTCCACAGAGGTCACACAGAAAAGGTTTCTGTTCTATGTGGACTCTCATGTGACTGTTTAAATTTGACTTTTGGATAAATCTCTTTTCACAGAGCTCACATGCAAAAGGCTTCTGTCCTGTGTGGATACTCATGTGACAATTTAAATGGGCATTTAGGCTAAATCTCTTTCCACAGAGCTCACAAACAAAAGGCTTCTGTCCTGTGTGGACACTCATGTGACTATTTAAATGGGAATTTAGGCTAAATCTCTTTTCACAGAGCTCACAGGCAAAAGGCTTCTGTCCTGTGTGGACTCTCATGTGAATGTTTAAAGTTGACTTTTGGCTAAATCTTTTTCCACAGAGCTCACAGGCGAAAGGCTTCTGTCCTGTGTGGACTCTCATGTGACTGTTTAAAGTTGACTTTCTGCTAAATGTTTTTCCGCAGAGCTCACAGACAAAAGGCTTCTGTCTTGTGTGGACTCTCATGTGACGGTTTAAAGTTGACTTCAGGCTAAATCTTTTTCCACAGAGGTCACACAGACAAGGCTTCTGTCCTGTGTGGACTCTCATGTGACTGTTTAAAGTTGACTTTTGGCTAAATCTTCTTCCACAGAGGTCACACGGAAAAGGCTTTTGTCCTGTGTGGACTCTCATGTGACTGTTTAAAGTTGACTTTTGGCTAAAAACATTTCCGCAGAGCTCACAAGCAAAAGTCTTCTGTCCTGTGTGGACTCTCATGTGCTTGTTTAAAGTTGACTTTTGGCTAAATCTTCTTCCACAGAGGTCACACGGAAAAGGCTTCTGTCCTGTGTGGACTCTCATGTGAACGTTTAAAGTTGACTTTTGGCTAAAAACATTTCCGCAGAGCTCACAAGCAAAAGTCTTCTGTCCTGTGTGGACACTCATGTGTCTGTTGAAATTAGTCTTTAGTTGAAATCTTTGTCCACAGTGCTCACAGGCAAAATTTTTCTGTATTGTGTGGACTCTCGTGTGTTTGTTTAAATGTGTTTTATGGCTAAGGGATTGAAACCTGGCAGCATCAGTCTCCTTATTCAAATGGAGTTGCTCTCCCTCCATATTAGACCAGAGTTTCTCCTGTTCCTCCTTTTTGTGGAGGAAATCTAAGCGCTGGTGGTTGACACGAGCACTCAGTTCTTCTGAAGCTTCTTATTTAACCAGAACCACCTGTTGAAAACCTGAAGGAAACACAGAAACATATTATGTGATTTACAGACAGCTGTAACTTTGTTTTCACACATATAACATTTGTATTATTTCTTTAAACAGACAGTAGAATGAAATGTATTTACAATTGGAAACTGAATGTTGAGCCTCTATAAATCATATGAGCCTTAAATGTCTCAGGAGCCCTGACAAACGCTAAATAAAAGACGGATATTCACGCCTATTATATAAAGATCTATTTTCCCCACCCACTCGACTAGGACATTAAATTACTGAGCTGCAGTTTACCCTTAGAGCCTGGGAATAATGTTTGTGTGTGTGTGTGTGTGTGTGTGTGTGTGTGTGTGTGTGTGTGTGTGTGTGTGTGTGTGTGTGTGTGTGTGTGTGTGTGTGAATGCTGTGAGGACACATTTTGACTTTTCACATCTAACATGGGGACAAGCTAAAATTGTGAGGACATTCAATTCAATTCAATTCAAAGATACTTTATTAATCCCAGAGGGAAATTAGAGTTTCAGTACACACAATTCTGAGATCAGACATACATACATAGGCATAGACACAGGGCTGTGCAGAGACCTTTGAAGGGGCGGGTGCTCAAATTTAAAAAGGGGCACACAGAATAATATTTTTAAACACCATGACATAACCACAGTATACCCGGCTGAATAACAAATCATATTTATTAGAAATCCAAAATGGAAGCAAATCATTATATACACCATAAGGACAATGTAAAGCAAAAGTAACTTGTTTTGGTAAATGGTCTGTATTTGCATAATGCCTTCTTAGGGTTCTACAACCCCCCCAAGGCACATTACAACACAATCAGTCATTCACACACACACATTAACACACTGATGGTGATGAGCTATGATGTAGCCATAGCTGCTCTGGGGCGCACTGACAGAGGTGAAGCTGCTGAGCACAGGCACCACCAGTCCCTCCGATCACCACCAGCAGGCAAAGCAGGTTAATTGTCTTGCCCAAGGACACAACAGCATCAATCTCTGATTGAAGTCAAGATCAAACCTGCAACCTTCCGATTACTGGACAACCTGCTCCACCTCCTGATCTATTGCTGTCCTATTTTACCTGATGATGGGGTACAATGTAGCTGTTGCAGGTGTAACGTTATGAAGTTCATTATTTTCAGCTCCACACAGCTGTCCCTGTACACAGTAACACCCGTGTAGAAAACGCCAAGGTCGGGTGTTCCTCAGACTGTTTACATTCCAGGAGAAGAGCCAGAAGGAGGAGAAGAAAGCTTTTCAATAATCAAAGTACTTAATTTGTCATTAAAGCTAGTCGAAACAGATGTTGATCAATAATAATCAAGTGAATGATCTGTGGAATAAAGATGTCATGATTTATGTGTTTAATGAAAACAGGACTACTGCACAGACAGACTGACCCTCATCTCCATAGAAACGCATGACACATTGTTCCAACCAATCAGAGCTTTCGGCTGCCGCAAGAGAATCTGGCTTGTTGACTTAAAGTGTCCAATCCGCTTTACTAAAACTTATCAACAATTCAGAGATATAAAACAAGGCAACGCCATTTTAAGCTCAGTTCCATTTTGACTTCAGTTCTATTCACTGTCATCCTAAAGAAAAGCACAGCCTGGCCAGATGTGTTTTCTTCTTTAAACTAAGAACTGTGAAGTTGGAGATTTTCGTCGTTTAACAACCAGACGACATCCTTTCAAAATAAGAGCACCTGCTGACGCTGCCGATTGTTACCTGGGTAGACCCTTCAGACGGGCTTTGAAACGCTGCGATCGCTGTTTCGACCAGCTACAGCGCACATCCGAGGTCTTCAGACCTGGCATTTCCTGATCTACCTGGGAGGCCCCCACTGGGTACGTACACGGCAAAATAGCGGCTCATGTCATCACTTTATAAGCCTCGTGATATCTAGTCATAATAATCAGACTACCAGATTCAATGACGTCAGCCTAAGGAGTCTGAACAAACACACACACACACACACACACACATCGAACATCACATTCATTTCCAAACAACACAGAGTTAGTCCTGATAGATTGTAGAATTTATAATAAAATTCTTAAACGATCCCAACTCTCTCTTTTCTTGTCTCACGGTAAATACAGAGTGTTAAATGAACTCCCTGATGATAAAAACAACCTATTCTTCTGATTATAAAAACTAGATCTACTTACAGTATAATAAAATACAACTCTAGATCGTTACATCACTCTATTTCTCTACACAGGGTTGCTCCTCTTGCTGCTGCTGCTGATGCTGGAGGGCAAGGCTGTGTTGATCTCAGACTGTAGGTAGTAAAACGAACAGAGGAGAAATGTTAGTCAATTACAAAATTAATGTAAGAGCATAAAAAAATGGCAACAATTGGTGAAAACTCTTAGAACTGTAAGACAGAAATATCTGAGACATAACCTGTGGTCAATAAATGGAAATCTAAACATTAGTGGATAATAGAGGAGTTTATGTCTGAGATAAGAATGTGACAGAAATATAAACAGAAAGAGTTGTGTGTGTGTGTGTGTGTGTGTGTGTGTGTGCGCGTGTGTGTGTGTGTGTGTGTGTGTGTGTGTGTGTGTGTGTGTGTGTGTCTTCAATCTCCTCATGTGATCTATCACTCTCCACTTGCTGTCCATCTGAGAACAAGGCAACATTAGCTATTGTATGAATGAATTATGTAGTTATTCACATTTAACAGGTCTTGCACCTAATCCATGATCAAGTAGCTAACAAAATCATTTTCTAGCATCAAAACATTGCAGTTGTGTTTATTATTGTTTCTACACTTGTTGCTGTGATGCAACTTACCTGTACTCTTTATTTTACCCAGCTGGTGAGGGACCCACTGCCTTTAGCTGCCTCATGTAGCTCGTTCTGTCGCTGCTTCCGCCTCCTCTCCTTACGAGGCATGTCTGTACAATGATATATCATAATTAATTTACAAATATTTTTTCATGCATATAAAACTCATGCATACACATTCTGGGACATTTCATTCCTTTTCCAGAAAACTAACTGTATATAATTTGGCCACAAATTTGCTTCATGATGCTGATCCAGAATATGTCCATAATATTTTAATCATAGTGCTTTAGTAATTATAATAAAAATAAAGAATAAAACAATGTTTATGCTTTCATTCAGTTTTACTATCTACTTTGTGCAAAACAGAGAACTGTACAGATAAAATAATTTTAATGTGAAAACAGTAGTTTTTTTTAAATGTACATCTTTAAAACATAATGTTTTTAATACAATGCATTCACAAAGAGGGCAAATATAAACTCCAGCATGTTGAGAATATGCATAGTATTAGTGAACAATAAAACCCACCAGAAGGGCTGAGAAACCTTAAAATCTAAAACAAAACTATGTTCCCTAAAACGCTGGACCGAATTTACAGACAAGGACTGAATATTTTGGAACACAAAACTTGTGACGGATGTTACCTTTAGTATTTTTCTTATTTCCTTTCACAAAAGGTAGCTAAATTTTAAATTTGTTCAAGTTTTATTAGTCCGCGAACCAGGAAGTGATTTTGTAAACAAGAAGCAGGGCCGTGTATGAGACCCCAGTCATGTGACACGCAGCAGCGATAGGAATGCAACTTTGCGGTACCTAGTTAACAACAACGACATTTTATTGGCAAATTCCCAATATTTAAGATTGAAAAAATATTTTCGTACAAGTACTTATGTACAGAATGTTTTTGGTTAATCCTAAAGTTACTGAGGTTCAGAATCGGTACCCAGCCACACACACACCCAGCTAGTAATATATCACACACACACCTAGTGACACAAAACAACTTACTAATGTACAAAATAATCTAATAACTGTGTATAGTAGTGTGCATCCTACTTACCGGTGTTAGTCCGTTTCTCCCAATCAATATGTATGTCCTAAAAGCTCTGCACCACTCGCTCGGCCATGAAGAAAATGTGGGTGCTTGCAGCTTGTTGTGACCGGCTGTGCGCTCTGGCGTAAGGAAGAGACGGAATGGTCACGTGACGGTATGGTCACGTGACTCACACCAGCTATATAACATTATTAAACAGAAATTTTATTAATTATTATTTTTGTTATTCTTGAGGGGGCACAAACAGAAAATTCTTTAAATTTTTTAAAAAAAATTTTAAAAAATAAATATAAAAAAATCACTAAACCTCAAAAAGGGCACTTTGGGCACATGGGACAAAAGGGGCAGGGCCTCAAGCACCCTCCCCCCACCCCCTGCACGTGCCTGCATAGACACATGACAAGAACTGGTGACTGTGGTCATTCACAACCCGAGTCGCGCTACCTTAATAGAGATCAGAGGGTTTACATGAGGATTGGTTCAGGTGGAGGAAAAAAAGGCACTTCAGAGTTATCCTCCACAGGGAGGGCAGCTTTGCTATGCAAAAAAACACCTCAGACAGAAATGCAACAGACTTCAGACATTACACAACATAAGTGTCCACTAGGTGGGGTTGGGGACTCTCCTCACATCAGTGCATGCAGCCACGATAAGCAGCGCCCGTCAACTCCATTTGGACAGGGGAAGGAGGTTGTTGGGTTTAGAAAGCACAGTGACTCCTGGAAACGGTTCAACGGCCTTCACCGGTCGCAGTCCCGCCCAGGCTGGGATAGGGAGACAGAGTTACCATGAAGACTGCAGCATTCCACATTTCTTCTGAGGGGGAGTAATCTCTTCAGCCTCACAGGCTCAAGGGCACCAGATTCAGATAAGAACTTGTTTTGGGGCCAGACAGAGATAATTTCCTCTCTGTCTTAAAGTTCTGTTGATCTCCAACCCCTCTGAATCCAATAATGGCGTAGATTAATCTATCCCAATCCGTGCTGATCCGTCAACTCTATCCTTGATAGCATCAACCTTCTGTGCCAGAGTCTGAAGCTCAGCCAAAGTTCCAAGCTTACGACTCATCTCGACATTTATATGAGTGTGTGCGTTCACAGCACGGCGCAATCCATCCCCGAGCTCCGGGATTGAGCCAATATTCCTCGACAGCTCATTAATGTTCCGGTAAGCCAGGTAACCGCTCAGACCGAACAGCACGAAACCTGACACCAACACCACGAATATCCAGACGTCTTCAGAATTCTCTACAGACAGTTGAGAGAGGCAGATCAGGTTCCACTGTTTCCAGGAGTCCATGATATGCCCAGCTGGCTCTGTCCCAGAGGGGCAACTCCTGTTCTCATCACTGAAAAAATGTTGTCAATTGCATTGAGAGACCAACTGACCAGGTCCATTTTAATAATTTCCAGTTTCCAGAAAGAATGCAGAAGTGCCATACACCCAAAGACAGACAAAGAGCCTTGGGATAAGATAGGGAGGAGAGAAGGAAAAAGTCTCTGTACTCTCCAAGAGCCCGAAGAAGAAATGTGACAGATCATCACAGTAAAAATAATAAAACCCTAGGGGTGAATTAAGTTTTAGTTGAGGTTTGGGTTAGGAATACAACAACATTAGTTCCTTAAATGAACTGGTAATCAAGAGAACCGGGAAACTTCCAGGTGGCCTGCCGTTAATCTGGCCCACTCAGTTGTAGCGTTCTTAATCTACATAACTAGAAATTAACTCTTCTGCTAACAAGTTTCTGTTCCTCTGAGAAGAGACAAAGACAGAGACATGTCAGCCACATGTCCCAGTATTGTCCTCAGCTCTGAGGAGGAAGACATCAGTTGATGGGGGAGTTGGTTGGTCTTTCCCAACAGCATTTTGAAATGCAGAGCTTTCACAGAAAGCACAACAGAAGCACTGACCGAATGCATCAAATGCACAGGTATTCAGCACAGAGATGGTTGATGCCCCAAGCCTTACAGGCTAGTTTAGGTTTCCCTTTTTTAATAATCCCACCTTCACTCTTTTGGCAGTAAAAGATGGATCTGCATGGAGCCATTCAGGACAAGGGGAGAGGTAGGAAGTCCTCTTCCATTTTTTGGGAGGAACTGCGAGATCCCTCCAGTTTTCTACCTCATCTTCATCTGTTGTAGGAATGCTTGTGGCACAACCAGATTCCACCAAATGTTGAGTTTCCATTTTTATCTTGTCTTCTGCTCTGTGGGTAGTCCTGGAGGAGGGATTGTCTTCTGTTGCTGTCACTGGGCTCATTGTAGCCTCATCTTTATTTTGTTCTTTTGCAGAACAAATCCGCATATTTCCCTCCATGAAGAAAAGATGACGAGCAATGAAGCGATCAACTCTAACAGGCAGGTTGTCATGTTGGAAAATCCCACGTTTCACATTTTTGAACAGGGCTTCAACAGTGGCAGAGCTTGCTGTGATGCTGGTGCTGTGGAAGAGAGGGACCATTATTCCTGTCCAGCTCACACTCCTGTGTGCTGGATCCCACCCAAACACCAGAGAGCCAGTCGAGTTGGTATTTTTAAAAGCTGCGCATCCTCTCCTGGTGGTCCAGGCGGTGGTTCTGATCCGATTTTAACCCAAAAACTAGCTTGACTGGCCCACTGAGCCACACATCTCTTCTGGTGGTCGGTTCTGACCTGAGCTCCAGAAATCCGCATTTAATTTTTTAACACTAGAAGTCCCAAGAATTTCAACATCCCCCCTGAAGTCCTGAAACAGGGTCAAAAGACCCTTAGTCCACACGAATGACTGATAGCTCCAATTAGCATCCCTTCATTTGTAAATGTAGCCATTGCCAGAGGAATCAGCAGGGGGGAGGAGAGATGAATTCACACAAAAGTCACATGATGTTGTGCCGCATTATCCAGGTTATTTTGCCAAATGTGAGAGGACTAGAAACATGAGACATGAAAACATAAGAGAAGTTTTCACTGTTTTGGTAGAGATATGGCATTTTGCTGCTGTTCCATGGTGCTTCGCTAAACCATATAGAGGATTTTGCCAAATACACCTTGAATTTTGAGAATGTCATCTCAGTTTCGAGAAATGAGCCAAACTAATTGAAAAAAAAAACTGTAAATCAACTTGTTCAAAAGTTGGGGATGAGTTGGCTCAAAATGACTGAGTGTAAGCTGCTCCTGAGAGTGTCTGCCCATCCCCCAGCTGCATTTTTTGCAGGGCCATCCTGAGCAACAGCTACAGAAATTTGCATGCAGCCTTTAGTGCTGTGGAGGATAAATAGGCGACTGCTTCACCTATTTTGTTGACAAGAAACAAAATGCAAAGGAGGCTAACCACTCAACAGGCATTGGAACTGATCGTGAGCAAGGCCAACCCTTGTGACAAAAAGTTAATTTAAAATTGTTTCTCTTGCAGATGAGGAGTCGACTCTACCAAAAAAGAGAGCTCGGTTGGAGAGTGAGCTGACAGAGACCTCAAAAGATGGCACTGTGTGGTGTGAAAAACAAGTGGGGACATGTCTCCATATTACTCCAATAGAACCTAACGCCACAGCAGGAGAGCCAATAGCTGAGGCCATTGTGGATGTGATGGACCAAATGGTGCGGGAGTACAGCGTGCGTGCAGGAACACAGAGATGGCCAGTCGCCGTGTTCTACAACATGATTGACATGGCAGCACTGAATGCACATGTGCTTTATCAGGCATGCATTGAGGTGCAGGAGAGACGGGTGAACTTCCTGGTTGAGCTTGCAAAAGAGTTGGGTGACGGTCATGTGAGTGAGAAGAAGGCACGCAAGGAGAAACTGCTTCGGCTAAAACCTTCCACACCCAGCCCTGGCAAAAGGGCAACGTGTCAGGTCAACCATCGTTGCACAAACAATTGTGCAACTGTGAGATGTGCTGACTGCTACAAATATACATGTGGCAAATGTACCAGAGTCATACCCTGGCAGTGCCAGGTATGTTCCGACAGTGCAGACTGATGCTCTCACTCACTCGCACGCACGCACGCACACACATGCAGCGCCCCACTGCAGCTTAGTGTAAATATGTGTGAAATTGTTTTATTCCTTGTATTTTTTGTATCATTTTTATGACAAAAATAAAAAGCATGGAAACTAACAGTTGTTCTTTTGTATATGTCTCATGCTGAAATTTCAGTCCTCTTGACTTAGACACAAACGCTTCTGGTCTTTGCTCACAGCTGGACCTGGAAAACCTTATTTACAAAACAAAAGTGGCTGTTCACAACTCATTATACAATGTTAGCTAAAATCCTTCAGGTCACTCGACCCATCTCTGGGTTCCAAAGGTAGAAATGTTAAATGACCCTTCTCTGGGACTTCTAGTCTCGCCACAGATCTCCGGGGTCCAGCGCTGACCTCCCTGTCCTGGTACCGACCGATGTGGGGAGGACTCGTCCAGACAGGCTGGAGTTGGTACAGCCTTCACACACTATAGTTTATCAACAAGAACACAATCCAACACGAGTAAACACACACACTGACTCGATAGCATGACCTCTCTACCCTAAAACTAGCCTCTCCACACGGAGCTGAGGCAGCGCCTAGCTTCTAACTCCCTTTGGTTACGTCAGAGGTTCACATTTAGATAAAAGAGCCTTTTTAGAAGCTTTGCTGAGAAAGCACACTTTTTACTAGAAAACTGCTGTTTTAAAACCAAATATCCACAATAAGCATTTCAAATTGTATTTTTGGACAGCATTTTATATGAATTAGGATTTTTTTTACCTGCTATTTGCTCTTTAAGATCAACCCAGCATCCCCCAGTCTGTTTACTATGTTTCATGTTGTTTTATTATGTGTTTATTACATTTTTTGTGAAGCGTCTTTGAGTGACCTAACAAGCGCTATATAAGATTGATGTATTATTATTATTATTATCATTTACAACAGCAGAAGGCAAAGTGTGTCCCCACTCCCTGTTCAGCTATTTTCCTGCACCAGATCTGGCTTTTACAGATGTTTCTCACCTGTGTGAATAACACATCTGTCTAAGAGAAAAACCACTTCTCCAACTCATTTACTTATTTACATATCTGAAAGGTGGCAGCCCTACCTGTGTCCATGCTGTCCAGGTCCAGGTGGTGAAGAACACACGATGAATCAGTCCCAGCTGATGGATGATCCTGAAGTGGTAGCAGGTTTTCTTTAGCCGTGTTTAGCTAACAGCTGCAATAGAAACAAAGCAGGAGAGCTGATTAAGATGCTGCTTCAGAACAACGCAGGAGATTAAAGATCCAACGCTTTGGTTCTGGCCAAAGGAACAGCAGCAGATCCAGAGGGCAGGAAGTCTAGAGAAAAGCTTTTCTCACCCACAACCTGATTCTGGAGCTCCGATTGTCACGAAGACCGCAGAATATCTTCTCTGGTTCTGGAAAGAACTCCACCAAGTTGTTGAGGAGGAGAAGAAAGTTTCCACAGCCTGGTGAGAAGATTTCTGCAGCAGCAGCAGTTAGTCGCTTTAGCTGATCAACTCTCCCAGAGACTGAAGTGAAGACATTTTTACTGCAGAGCCTCAAATATTCTCCTCACACACCAGAACAACAAGCTAGCTCTGCTAGCAGCTTCCGGTTTCTGCTTCTTCTGGTGGTCGGTGACCAGCGTAAAGGTGCACTACCGCCACCTGCTGGAGCAGAATAAAACACCTATGTGTTCAGAATGGGACTAATAAACACATATAGGTTGTGATGACTCACTTCCCCAAACAATTAAAGTAAACAAAAATAAACAATCAATGATGAACAGGGGTCTGCTTCTAGACCTGCAGAAAAGGGACACAGCTGAGGAGGAGAAGAAAGTTTCCACAGCCTAATGAGAAGATTTCTGCAGCAGCAGCAGTTAGTCGCTTTAGCTGATCAACTCTCCCAGAGACTGAAGTGAAGACATTTTTACTGCAGAGCCTCAAATATTCTCCTCACACACCAGAACAACAACAAGCTAGCTCGGTTAGCAGCTTACTGGTGTCAAGCCAGCCTCCAATTCCAGCACTGCAGTCAAGCCAGCCTCCAGTTTGTTTTCTGTTCCCCGTCTATTCCAGTTATTACGGGAATGGATGTGGAAACCGGATTTCAAAATAAAATTCAACTTCCAGTGAATTATCAGATATTTTACGAACATAATAACAAATAAATTAGGCTTGTTCACTATTAGCACCCTTTCAATATCAAGGCAATCTTATTTTGGATTTCAAAGTAAAAGCCCTGTGAATTTTCATTTTTGAACTACTCTTTCAATGACTTCAGAATGCTCTTAAAAGCAAAAGTCATATTTCCAAAGAGTAGTTGCATTTTGTATCAACACTATCAAACCACAGCAATTTGAAATTGCCCATGTTTGACCGACTATTTTAACGATTTCAAAATGCTCTAAAAAAGGAAATTGCTGTTTCCACAGGGTAATTCCTTAGATCAACTGTCTACAACCCCACAGCGATACTGTATCAATATCAAGTCAGTATGATGTTGCCTTCCAAAATAAAGGCCTTTTTAAATTGCCCATATACGACCAAACTTTCAGTGATTTCAAAATGCTCTAAAATGGAAAGTTTCTGTTTCCACAGGGTAATTCCACTTTAGATCAACTGTATACAACCCCACATGGATACTGTATCAATATCAAGTCATTCTGATGTTGCCTTCCAAAATAAAGCCCTTTTTAAATTGCCCATATACGACCAAACTTTCAGTGATTTCAAAATGCTCTAAAATAGAAAATTGCTGTTTCCACAGGGTAATTCCTTAGATCAACTGTATACAACCCCACAGTGATACCATATCAATACCAAGTCATTCTGATGTTGCCTTCCAAAATAAAGGCCTTTCAAATAGTCCATATACGACCAAACTTTCAGTGATTTCAAAATGCTCTAAAATGGAAAATTGCTGTTTCCACAGGGTAATTCCTAAGATCAACTGTATACAACCCCACAGTGATACCATATCAATACCAAGTCATTCTGATGTTGCCTTCCAAAATAAAGGCCTTTTTAAATTGCCCATATACGACCAAACTTTCAGTGATTTCAAAATGTTCCAAAATGGAAAATTGCTGTTTCCACAGGGTAATTCCTTAGATCAACTGTATACAACCCCTCAGTGATACCATATCAATACCAAGTCCTTCTGATGTTGCCTTCCAAAAATAAAGGCCTTTCAAATAGTCCATATACGACCAAACTTTCAGTGATTTCAAAATGCTCTAAAATGGAAAATTGCTGTTTCCACAGGTTAATTCCACTTTAAATCAACAGTATACAACCAAACTTACACCACTTACTCACATGGACACTACAGTACAGAATACATTTTTGTTTGGTGAAAACTGCCAAAACAGAATACACAAACACAGAGACTCAAAATCCCGGAACAGTTTCCAATTCAATCCGAGGCTCTACTGAGGCCTTTCTCCGGAGTTAGTGTAACCATACCAGCCCTGGTACTGGTAGGTTCAGTTCTTTATTAACTCTGCGTTGTGTTGTACAAAGAGTCGAGACGAAGTTTTAGCTGACACCAGCATTTAATCTGTCAACACAGGAATGCTGGTCAGAAACCTAGCTTTTGTTAGGATTGGTAGGATCAAACAGCACACTCTCGATCGGCTCCGTCTTAAAACTGACTAACGTCCGTTAAACACATAACTTTAACAATTACCTGTCAACACAGGAATGCTGGTCAGAAACCTAGCTTTTGGTAGGATTGGTAGGATCAAACAGCACACTCTGTTGGAATAAAAATACTGACATAAGTATTAAATAACTTTGAAAGTTTTCCTCACATACGTGCGCTGATAGAACCCGACCTACCTCGATCGGCTCCGTCTTAAAACTGACTAACCGCCAGCGCAGCTGGACACGTTAGTACGTAATGCTCGTAAACGGTTTCAACAGTTTTACTGATGGCAAGTGGAATGACACTATTTACTCTGTTACATTCCCCCCTGCCAAATTCCACTTGCCCATGAAAACAAAAAGAGGAGAAAGAAAAAAAAGAAAAAAAATCAAACATGACCAGCATCCTTTCACATAACCAAGACAGAAAACCAACAATGTAAAAAAAATTTTTTTTTTTTTTACATAGAACCTTGCACCTTTTTATCACTGAGGTAACACACAGATGGGCACAGCTGCTCAGTCAAAAAGACCCCCCAAGGGATAGCATGAAGAAGAGGATGGCCAAACCCCAACCCACACATTGAGCCGAAAAATGCCGAATACATATAACATATACCATGTCCCATAAGATACCTCAGCACAACTACACAACCAGCGTGCAAGACATACATATAACAAAAAAATGAAACATCCTCCCAAAAAAAAAAAAAAAAAATACAATTAAAGCTTTTTTTTTTTTTTTTTTTTAGTTCAAAACAGCATTTCAACTGAAATCATTTCACATAACATACATAAATATATCTTATGATGCTATTTCCAACCTCTGATGCATCATTTCTATCAAACGATTGACTGGCTTAAACAACCTGCCCGCTCGAGACATCACATGACCCCTAGTCTCTTGAACAGTCACAGCCTTCAAGCCCATCCCAACAGCATCCTTATCCTCCAT